CTCCAGAAACACCGTGTGGGCATACGGCCTTGACCTAACAGATCAAGGAAGTCCCCTACTAAGCACAGGACATACGTACGATCTGATACACCACTGTCTGTTCATCTAATGTAGGGAACCCCTGCAGAATGCCATCAGCCACTGAGGTGCTAGGAATTTGCTTTGTTATGACAGCAGAGCTGTGGGTGTCTTTCCTTTGGCTAGAGTTGACATGGTGCACTGCTCTTAAGCACTCAAACATGGGAAACATACTCCCTTCTCAGAAGCCCACACAAATTACCAAACATAATGGATCTGTGAGTGATAAGAGCCTGTCATTCCAGGCCTCTGCCTCACAGGCAGCAGTTGATGACTTAGGGAGAGAGAGCTCCGACAGTGAAAATGAGATGACAGCAGACAACGCAACAATACCTAGTCAGCCACCCCCCAGATATCCATGGAATGAACTCAGATGACCTCGAGGCGATAACCCCTGCGAGGTCATCCCATCCATATCCAGTGAGGACCCCTACATTTGTGGCAGTCCCCGGGTAACCCAGGCTCTCAGGGCAACTACTAGATCCCACCCCATCTGCATGTTTGCCATTAATGTCAGAGCAGATGCAGAATTCAGGCCCTGGATTCCAACACCTGTAAAAAGGCTTCTGCTAACCAAGGACAGAGGATATGCTTGTGTCTTTCCAGAGAATGTGGGACAGCCCATTTGGGTACCAGCCAGAAACATCAAGCCTGCAACTGACAGTCAACCAGAACCAGATGAACAAGACTGAGAGACCGCCTTGTTAGTGGATGCACCTGCTACTGTTTGTCAAGCTGCTGCCCTATCATCCTACCCTGAGGAACTGCCCACAGCCACATCCGCTACTGCTTTATACCCCACTAGCTCCAGTCAGCCACTCAAATGGCCCACAGCCTGTGTGAGGTCATGCCATTCCTGATTACCATTGTTCCTCATTCCTACCCCAATCTGAGCACTCCTGTGGTCTCCCATTTTGAGGGCTGGTTAGTCAATGATGGGTAAGATCCCCTGGGGGACAATCTAAGACCAGCACAGCTGTATGAGGAGACCACATGGAAACGGGGCCAACAATGGTATGGCCAAGGATTATGCCTCCTATTGCTCAAAAACAAACAAAAAGGGGGAAATGTGGTGGAATGAGAAGGCTGTGCCAAGATGGCCACCGGCAAGCAAGTGTCAGTTACTCAGGAAATGGCTGCGGAACCCACCTGGCAAAGTAGCCTGCCTAGCAACAAGCTGTGATTGGTTACGGCATAAACCGCCCCTTGATCGGATTGGCTGCCTTGGCTATATAAGCTGCTGTACCAACTGAAATAAATGAGTGTGCGGGCCGCTCGCCTCTGGCCCACTTTCACCCAACTCCCAGGGTCTGTGTGGTGACACTGCACCTCTTGCCCCCACCATGCTCCTCCTCTCAGAATGAATCCACAGCAACATCGAATGGACAAGGTGGAGACTTGATCCAATTATAGTGCCAGGAGGTAGGCCCCGTAGATCTTTAGATCACTGGGACCTTGCCCTGGGCAGGCAGTTCCCACAAAAGGGTTGGTTATTTAAGCTGAATTTGGCCTAGCTTCTCTTTATTTTCTGGCTCACCATGTGAACATCTGACTCTTATACCATTGGCAGCCTCCACCAGATGCAAGACTAATGAGCGACCCAGTCTTGAACTGTGAGCCTCCAAAACTGTAGGCCAAAAATAAACACTTTCTTTCCCAAGAAAGCCGTTTCAGGTATTTTAAAATAATGACAAGCTGACCAACACAGAGGCCATTGTGAGATGAGTCCTCTAGATTCTGTACTTCCAGAACCATCAGTCAAAAAAAGCTTCTTTTTAAAATGTATTTTTTTTTTGACAGGCAGAGTGGGCAGTGAGAGAGAGAGACAGAGAGAAAGGTCTTCCTTTTGCCATTGGTTCACCCTCCAATGGCCGTGGCCGGCGCGCTGCGGCCAGCGCACCACGCTGATCCAATGGCAGGAGCCAGGTACTTATCCTGGTCTCCCATGGGGTGCAGGGCCCAAGCACCTGGGCCATCCTCCACTGCACTCCCTGGCCACAGCAGAGAGCTGGCCTGGAAGAGGGGCAACCGGGACAGAATCCGGCGACCTGCCGGGTCTAGAACCCGGTGTGCCGGCGCCGCAAGGCGGAGGATTAGCCTAGTGAGCCACGGCGCCGGCTCAAATGTAATTTTTAACTACTTATTTATTTTTTATCTACTTGAAAAGCAGAGTGGGGGTGGGGAGGGAGAAGGCACCTCCATCTACTGGTTCACTCCCTAAGTGCCTGCAACAGACAGGTTGGGCCAGACTAAAACTAGGAAACTTCATCTGAGCCTCCTACATGGGTGCAGGAACTCAATCGCTGGGCCATCACCTGCTGCCTCCCAGGGTGCATCAGCAGGAAGCTGGATTAGAAGTGGAACAGATGGGACTTGAACTGGCACAGGCATCCCAAGCTTTGGTTTATCCTGCTGTGCCACAATTCCTACCTCTACCTCTTTTCTTTATAAAGTAGCCTGCCTCAGGGGCCAGCGCCGCGGCTCACTTGGCTGGTCCTTCGCCTGTGGCGCCAGCATCCCATGTGGGCGCTGGTTGGGGCGCCGCATTCTGTCCCGGATGCTCCTATTCCAGTCCAGCTCTCTGTTGTGGCCAGGGAGGGAAGTGGAGGATGGCACAGGTTCTTGGGCCCTGCACCCACATGGGAGACCAGGAAGAAGCACCTGGCTCCTGGCTTCAGATCAGCGCAGCGCCGGCCATGGTGGCCATTTGGGGGATGAACCAACGGAAGGAAGACCTTTCTCTTTCTCTCTCTCTCTCACTGTCTAACTCTGCCTGTCAAAAAAAATAATAAAGTAGCCTGCCTCAGGTATTTCATTATAGTAATGAAAAAGAGACTAATACAATCACCCATCCTACTTTCTATCTCTATGAATTTGACCACTCTAGGTGTCTCATATAAATGGAAGCATACAATGTTTTGCCCCTCTGTAACTAGCTCATTTCACCTTAACATAGTGTATTCAGGGTTCAATTATATTGTAGTATGTGTCAGAATTTCCTTCCTACTTAACAAAAATGTTCTTATTTGTTTGAGAGGCAAAGAAAGAGACAGGAAAACAGAGAATGCCCATCTGCTTGTCCACTCCTGCAGCAGGCAGGGCCGGGCCAGGCTGAAGTTGGAAGCAAGAACTCAGTCCAGGTCTCCCAGGTGAGGCAGGGGCCCAACTACTGGAGCCATCGCCTGTTGCCTCCTGGGGGCACGGTAGCAGGAGGCTGGAATCAGGAGTGGAACTGGGGTGCAAACACAGGCACTCTGCTAGGAATGCAGGTGTCCTAACTGGTATTCAGTGACGAGCCCAAACATCTGTCCTCAGAATTTCCTTCCTGGGCCGGCGCCGCGGCTCAATAGGCTAATCCTCCGCCTTGCGGCGCCGGCACACCGGGTTCTAGTCCCGGTCGGGGCACCGGATTCTGTCCCGGTTGCCCCTCTTCCAGGCCAGCTCTCTGCTGTGGCCAGGGAGTGCAGTGGAGGATGGCCCAGGTGCTTGGGCCCTGCACCCCATGGGAGACCAGGAAAAGCACCTGGCTCCTGGCTCCTGCCATCGGATCAGCGTGGTGCGCCGGCCGCGGCGGCCATTGGAGGGTGAACCAACGGCAAAGGAAGACCTTTCTCTCTGTCTCTCTCTCTCACTGTCCACTCTGCCTGTCAAAAAAAAAAAAAAAAAAGAATTTCCTTCCTTCTTAAGACTAAGCAATATTCATTATATATATATGTACTACATTTTATTTACTCATTCATCTGACACTTGGTTGCTACCACCTTTTGGCTATTGTGAAAGAAGCTGCTTCAAACGTGGTGTACAAATACCTGTTGGAGCTCCTATTTCAATTCTTTTGGTCATCTATATTCAGGAGTGGAATTGTGAAAACATATGGTAATTCTATGCTTAGTTTTTTGAGGAAATGCCATACTTTATTACCACAGCAACCGCACCACTGTGCATTTCCACCAACGTATATTTCCTAAAATATTGCTTTCAGGACAAATTAACACTAGATTTAAGGAAGGCAAGAGTTGGTGGACAGATACTAGTTAAGAGGCTCTTGCAATTAACCAGGTGAGAGATGATGGTGGATTGAAACTACATACTAGAGGCGAAGGTGGCAGGATTAGATTCTGGTGGTGATTTAAAGGCAAAGCCTGCTGGATTCGTTAAGGAATCAGCTTTTAAATGCTATGAATGAAAGTAAATGTATGAAAGAAAGTGAACAAAGATGACTCCCAGGCTTTCGCCTGAGCAATAGAAGAATGAGGGTGTCATTTACAGACGTGGGGAGTCTGCAGGAAGTTGAGGTGGAATGCATAAGTCTGTTTTAGGACCTGTTGAGTTTAACATGCCTATTACACGTGCAATCCAGCCTGGTGTCCAGAGAACTTGCGTGGGCCGGAGAGAGAATCTGAGAGCTGTCAGCACATAGATGGCATCTAAAGTCAGGAGACTTGATGAGATTACCTAAGAAATGATTACAGACATGGAAAAAGAGAGGAGCAGGGACTGAGCTCTGGGACGTCCAGCGACAAGACAGCAGAGGCCGGCGCTGTGGTGCAGCGGGTTAAGGCGCCGGCGGGCAGTGCCGGCATCCCACTGGCTTCCCAGCCCGAATCCCGATCTTCCTCTCCTCCCCTCCGAGTTCTCCCACAGGGAGCAGGCTGAGCGCGGCACCCACCGGCCACCGTATCGGAAGTTAGCCGCTGCCATACAGGGAACTGTACTGGATGAGGATTGGATCGAGAGCTCAGGGGCGGAGTTTAGAGGTAAACTCCGGCCTGACTGCGAAGCGAGCTCGGGGAGGCGGGGTTTAATGATGGAGCGGAGCGGGGATTGGGCCAAAGGCAGAGCCGGCCCGATGATTGGGCCGAGCGCTCCGGGGCGGTGCTTGAGGGGGCGGGGCCGTGCCGGAAGTCAAAGGTCGGTAAATAGTGGTGATGTCATGCGGGCAAGATGGCGGAAGGGTGAGCCCGTCATCCTCCTCCTAGGCGTTGAGGCCCGATTCTCCCAGGGTTTGGGCACTGGGCAAGGGACCTTGGGGCGAACAGGAGATCCGCGCGGGAGTGGACGGAGCTGGCGGGCGGAGTGCAGTCTCAGGACGGGGTTGGGGAAGCGGTCTGCGAAGCCTCGGCCTGCGGCCCACATCAGGGAAAAACAGACCCGATCATTGGGTGGGCAGGAGTGCCGGCGGGGCCGCCAGATGTGTCTGTCTTCCACAGGGAGGACGTGGGATGGTGGCGGAGCTGGCTGCAGCAGAGCTACCAGGCAGTCAAAGAGAAGGTAAGCCGGGCCAGCACCCTTCCCGCGGCCGGGCCCCGCACCGCCCTGCCCGGCTCTGGCAGTCTGGAGCCTCAAGACCGACCTGGGCCCTGCTGTCACAGGCCCCGGCGCAGACCGGTGTGGTGCGAGCACGGTGACATAAGGACTGTGTGCATGGCTGGAGGGATCCTTTCGTAGGGCTCCATAGGAAGGAGCAGTGCATACCAGCTCCAGAAAGTCACAACTTCTCGGTGAAAGACAGAGCACTTGATATAGGCCTTGAAGAAAAAGCATTCTGGCCATGAGAACACTTACTCCCACCTATTCACATATTAGACTGTGTGCCCCAGCTAGCTCTCTGAGTCTCAACAGGTCTTGAGGATACAGACCGTAGCCAAACAGATGCTGGAAGACAGCCATTAACCAGATGGACAAGCAAATAGCTGTTTAATTACTGATGTGGTTAGTGCTGTGAAAGGAACGTGCTGGAGTACCTTGTCTAGTCCGGGGAGTCAAGACAGGAACCTTCTTGGGGCGAGCCCTGCCCAGACGGGATGAAAAGCAACAAACCAGGCCAGAGACGAGTTTGTTGGTGCCTGAAGAGGCCTCTCTGCACAAGGAGTTTGCAAAGAGAGGCAGAGTGACTGAGGTGGATGGCCCGAGAGTGGAGGGCCCTGTGGGCTAAGTGGCGCTGGGGTCTGTCGGTGGGCAGTGCCGATGTCTGTGCCTGTTTCATTCCGTGCCAGTCAGAACCAGAGCAACTGAGTCGTGAGAAAAGTTAATGACCAGTTATCACGGGCAACTGGAGTGAGCCCTGCTTCAGGCAAGCTCCAGGAGGCCTCTGCGTGGGAGCGTTTTTGTTCCTCCCTTGGCCTGAGCGTCTCTGTACATCCTGTCAGCTGCAGCCCAGAGAATGCAAGAGTGTCCTGAGCTGTCTAGGTTGGTGATGAGGACTCAGAGAGAAGGCTTTGCTCCGGGTTTTCATGAAAATGAGCCCAGGGTGGCAAGCTGCCTGTGGAGCAGTGTCGTGGGAGGAAAGCCTGAATTCATTCAGCCAGGCTGTGATGAGAGCCTCCGTGTGTGGGTCTTACCGTAACTCCTGAGAAAGTGAGGGCTACTGCAAAAGGTCATGGAAAATGTTCATTATGGAAAAACCATAGATTTCAGAAATTTCTGCAGCACAGTAAACTTTGAAGATATCCATTTCCTCCGTGAGCTTTTGAAAGTGCCCTCAAACGAAGTCGGTCAGTCTTTCACTGCGAATCCGAGAATCTTCATTCTTGGGAGTTACTGGTTAGAAGCAGAGGTGTGAGTGTTGCTTCTGCCTTTTTGGTGAGATTTAATCTCTGTCTGTTAACCACGTTAACGTGGACTTGGGCCAGTTACTTGACCTCCAGGCCTCGTTTGCTCACCTACAAAGCAGAAATAGTAATAACGCGTACTTGAAGAGATTGTCGTCAGTGTTAAATGATGACATATGTAAAGCACTAAGAAGAATACTAAGTCCTGTAGAAGCGTTAGCTGTGTTTTGTTAAGTGTGGAGGGTGACAGGGACACCTGGTAGACACTACCATCAGTCCATTTTATTATATTTTCTTTTTGGGGTCTTTTGACGCTTTACTGGCCTTGCTTTCCTTCCTGGCCACATCTGGTCCACTTGCTTCCCTGCTCGCTCAATGCTCTTGAACCCTGTAGCACATCTGTACAGTGCTCTGAGCCCAGGGCTCCGAGGCGGTGATGTGATCGGCCCTCCTCTGCGCCTTCCTTTTCCTGTCCTGGCTTGCTTTGTGCGCACATGCACTGAGGGCCAGGCACGTTGCTTTTCGGTTCTTCCGCAGATCGCTCGGCCTGTAGATCGCATCTGGGCCTGAGCGCTTCCAGAAGCCTCACTCAGTGTGTAATTTGCCCCTTGAGTTCAGAAACTTTCCCAAAGGCTGACTCTTCCTTCAAGCTCCCTGTTTACTTTGCCCCTTTCACCTCTAGGAAATAAACTCATCAACTTTTTGGAATGTAAGATCAACAGCATGGTCTCTCTTAACTCCCTCTCCGCCCCTCAAGCCACCACCTAGAACCTTATCTGTTTTTGCACTCAGCTTCACCTGCCTCCTGCCAAATCCAGCAGATGGTGTTCAGCCCTTATCGCTCTGGACCTCTCTGCTGCATTGGACTCTCCCTCTTTCCTGAAACTTGACTCTGGGCTTTGGTCACATGGTTCTCTCAGTTCTCTACCTGCTTCTGCAAACTCTCCTAATTGTTTGAGTCTTTCTTCCTCTGCCTGCTCCTTAAGATATAGTTCTGAAGACTTTTTTTTTTTTAAAGTTTTATCTATTTATTTGAGAAGCGGATTTACAGAGAAAGGGAGAGACAGAGAGAGGTCTTCCATCTGCTGTTCACCCCCAGATGGCTGCAACAGCCAGAGCTGCGCCAATCAGGAGCCAGGAGCTTCTTCCAGGTCTCCCACGCGGGTCCAGGGACCCAAGGACTTGGGCCATCTTCTGCCGCTTTCCCAGGCCATAGCAGAGAGCTGGATCAGAAGTGGAGTAGCCAGGACTCGAACTGGTATCTACATGGGATGCCGGCACTGCAGGCGGCAGCTTTAGCTGCTAAGCCACAGCGCTGGCCCCCCTGAACTACTTCACATTTTATGTTCATCAGGACTAACGTGCTCAAAGGTTTCAACAGACCTCGTGTCCACATTTCCTTAGGGGACACCTGTTCATTGTTTAGGGCCTGGGCCTGTGTTTCCTTCCCTAAATCCTCCCCACTTCCCTTACACACCAGCACTGTTATTTGAACATTTCCCCCAAGAGACTGATTTTCTTCAGGGCAAACACCATGTCTATTCTTTTTGCCCCCTCAGAGCTCACAATCTAGTGGAAAAGACAGCTGTTCGTCAAATAGTTATGGAAATAGCTACGTCATTAAGATGTCCTGGTACATGGAAGCTTCACAGGCACAGTTTTGAGCACCTGCTAGGGTGAAGCTCTGTGTTAGACATTGGGGAAGCATCAGTGAATCAGACACTTGGGCTCTGTGTTCCAGGAAGTCACGGTGTTTCCAGGAAGACAGACGTTGAGCAGGTAAACCTAAATCTCCCACGTGAGAACTGGTGGAGCAGAGATGGGGACCCAGCGAGGGCGCCCGGGGAGGTGACAGTGAAGCACTGGCCTGAGGATGGGCAGGAACTACCAGGGCGGGGTCCTTGTTTGTCACTTGCTTTGAAGATGTGTCAGGGAGAGAGGATAACGTGTTCAGACACTGCGTGAGGGCAGGTGGCATGTGAGAAACTGGAGGGACAGCCAGCTGGAGCTCAGTGAGGGGCGCAGTGGGAGGGCACGAGGGCTGACGGAGGCCTCCTCAGTGAAAGTACAGATGCAGGGCTTGCTAGCAGGATTGTGTATAACACTGAGGAGAGTGAAACAGGGCCAGTGTGCCCTGACACATACGTTTTTTAAGGATTTACTTATTTGAAAGGAAGAGGAACAGAGACAGAGCTCTTCCATCCACTGGTTCACCGGCCAAACGGCCACAACATCTGAGACTGGGCCAGGCCAAAGCCAAGATTCAGGAACTCCATTTGTGTCTCCAGTGTGGGCGGCAGGGGCCCGAGTACTTAGGCCAACTTCTACTGCCTTCTTAGGTGCATTGGCAGGGAGCTGGGTCAGTTCTCAGATACAGGATGCTGGCCTCGCAAACAGCAGTTTAACCTGCTGCACCACAATGCTGGTCCCTAATGCAACATATTTTTTAAACCTAAAGATAATGGGGCCAGCACTGTGGCCAAGTAGGTTAAGCATCCACCTGTGGAGCTGGCATCCTATATGGGCTCCGGTTCAAGTCCTGGCTGTTCCATTTCTAATCTAGCTCCTTGCTGATGGCCCCAAGTGCTTGGGCCCCTGCACCCACATGGGAGACCTGGAGGAAGCTCCTGGCTCCTGGCTTCGGATGGGCCCTGCTCCCACTATTGTGGCCTTTTGGGGAGTGAACCAGCAGAGAGAAGAACTTTCTTGCTGTCTCTCCCTCTCTCTATCTGTAACTCTGCCTCTCAAGTAAATAAATAAATCTTTGAAAAAAAAAGTATAGTGTTGCTTTGAAGAAAAGAAACTGAAGATAAGTAATTTCACATACTGCCTCATTTCAACTCAATTTCTCTGTAAGAAAAAATGAAAATAGAAACTCTTTCATTTAATATTATATAGCTCTTCTTCACATTATGAGTATTCATAGATTTCAATATTTTTGTGCTGAAATAAACCTTTGCTTCTTTTCCATGAACTTTTTGAAGTCCCCTTGTGTTTGACATTGGGAAACAAATACCATGACTTACCTCCTATCAAAGCACTTCTTCAGTTTAGCTTTCAGATTGTAACTGTCTCCTCTTCCCCGACATGCACTTGGGAATCACTGATCCAGTCCCCTTCCCTCATGGGGCAACAGAGGGGACCAGCTGAGACTTACTCATGGCCTCTCCGGTTTGTGAGTGCCTGGGCTCCGAGTAGCAGGAGTGCCCTGCACTGTGCTGTCAGGTAATCCCAGGTCATAGAACTGGGACGAGTGAGCCTGTGTCCAGGCCCAGGCGCCCCAGATTTCCTTGTGCCTGGTACTGAAGCACAGGGAACAGAAGAACGGGGTGGGGACCAGCTGGCTTTCTCATCGCTTTCTGTCTTCCCACAGTCCTCTGAAGCCCTGGAGTTCATGAAGCGGGACCTGACGGAGTTTACCCAGGTGGTGCAGCATGACACGGCCTGCACCATCGCGGCCACGGCCAGCGTGGTCAAGGAGAAGCTAGCTGTGAGTGCACCCGCACCTCCGAGTGACTGCCCGGGGCCCTGGTGGGGGCTCCCAGCCTTACTATTAAGTGACGGTTTTCCCCCTGTGGGGAAAACAGGGGAATTATCTTTCCTCCCATTTTGAAAAAGTAGCATTTGTCAAGAAAATAAGCTATACATGTTGATAGCTTTCCCATTTCTGTATTATTTTGGCAAATGTTTTCTATTAACAAAGTCATTTATTGCAAGCAAAGTATAGATAAGTGAAAAAAAGAAAGACCAATTTAGAGACATCCATAATTTCATCTCCCAGAGATAACTATTAATATTTTGGGGGTACACTCTTAGGAATTCTTTTTCGAAAACTTGAGTCAACTGAATACCAAGTTTTGAAACCTATTCTTTGACCTTATAATTGTTGTAAACCATATTATACAGTATTATAAATGGCATGGTAGTCTATCATGTGGATGTAACTACTTCCTAGTTTCCTGTTTTAGTTTCGCTAGAATTGAACACAGAACTGTAGTGAACATTCTGATTGCTAAGTCTTTGCCCACTGCCATAATATTTTCTGTATAATAAAATGTTGGAAGGGATCATACGGTGAGTATAGTTTTAGCCGTTTTAATAGTTATTACAAAACAATCCACTAGAAATGTGTAAATTTATATTCTTATTGACCCTAAACTCAAAAATACTCAGTGGAATCCTCTTGTGAAATAGGAGTTAGGTTATAAAATCAGTGAAAATTGTATATATTCAGAGATCTCTCTGCACATATCTTTAAGTTTCCGGTAAAGTACAATGCCCTGGTTTTTGGTTTTTGGTTTTTGGTGGGTTTTTTTAATTATTTAAGGAGGCAGAAAGACAAGAGAGCTCCCATCTACTGGTTCACTCTCCCAAATGCCCGTGATGGCCAGGGCTGAAGCCAGGAGTCAGTAATGCAGTCCAGGTTTCCCATGTGGTTGGCTGGAATCCAACTACTTAGCTGTCACCACCGCCTCCCAGGATCTGCACTGGCAGGAAATTGGAGTGAGAATCCAGAGATGGGAATCTAACCCAGGCACTCTTACATGGGATGCAGGCGCCTTGACTGCTAGGCTAAATGCCTGCTCCCAGGTGCCGATTTTTATATTGGAGTTTTCCCTTTAGCATTGGACCAGATTGTAGTTTCTGCATCACCAGATGTTGATCACCAGCTACATCAGTGGCTCTGTTATGGAAAAACAAGTTTGGGTTTTTTTTTTAGTCATGCTTATCTTGTTAAATTCTCCTGTAAAATACTGTCTGCCTGCTCGCCACAGCTACTGGTGAGCTTGAATGACAAGTGGTGACCCTGTTGAACTGCTCCAAGTCTAACCATAGGAGAGATACTACTTTTTTATTTTATTCATCTGTTCCTTTTTTTCCATTCAACAAATATGACAGTACTGGCATATATGTGCTAACATGTGTCAGGTTCTATGACAGGTTCTAGGTTGAAAATGTGTGGGCAACTTAATCAGGAGTATTACAGTTTTCCATGAGGTTTTTGAAATCTAACCTTGACTCAGCACCCCATCCTTGCCTGTTGAGGGCATTCTGACCCATGTGGCTCAGATTTGGTGGCCTTGCTGCCCCCTTCCAGGAAGTCACAGGAACCAGGCAAGGCAAGGCTGTCTGTTCTCATCCTGCCCTGATTTCCCCAAGCTTTGTGCAGAGTGTTCTACTCCCTGAGCAGCGATGATGATGAAATTGCAGTGAGAAAATGCTGCTATTGATGAAGTGTTTGCTGTGTGCCAGACATGGCCTGTGCCTTATCTTCTAATCTAAACAGTATCCTTATGGAGAATTTATATAGCCACAAGGTTAAGTTTCATAAACAAGTGGTAGAGCTGAGATTCAAATCCATGTCATTCCAGAGCTAGTACTTTCCTACCACTGTACCCATGGAAAGGTAGTCTTGCCCACTGAAGTCTATGGGATGATTTCTCTCCTGCCAATTTCTTAAAAATTTCCATATTTATTATTTTCTTTATTTGAAAGGCAGAGAGAGACTAAGAGAGATTTCCTGTTCCCTGGTTCACTCCCCAGTTGCCCACAACTCCTGGGGCTGGGCCAGGCCAAAGCCAGGAGCCAGGAGCTCAATCTAGATCTCCTACGGGGGGAGGCAGGAACCAGCTACTCCAGCCATCACCTGCTACCTCCTAGGCTGTGCATCAGTAGAAAGCCGGAATTGGGTGTAGAACCATGACTTGAACCCAGGCAGTCCAATATGGAATGTAGGCATCCCAAGCAACGTCTTTTTTTTTTTTTTTTTTTAAGATTACTTATTTATGAGCTGGTGCCATGGCGTAGCTGGTAAAGCTACCACCTGCGGTGCCAGCAACCCATATGGATGTTCCAGACCCAACTGCTTCACTCCTGATCCAGCTCTCTGCTGTGGCCTGGGAAGGCAGTGGAAGATAGCCCAAGTGCTTGGGCCCCTGCACCCACATGGGAGACCCAGAAGAAGCTCCTGACTTCTGGCTTTAGATCAGCACAGCTCCAGCTGTTGTGGCCATTTGAGGAGTGAACAAGCGGATAGAAGACCTCTCTCTCTCTCTCTCTTTCTCCTTTTCTCTCTGCCTCTGAATCTCTGTAACTCTGCCTTTCAAACAAATCAATAAATCTTTAAAAAAAAAAAGATTACTTATTTATTTGAAAGGCAGGGTGACGGAGAGAGAGAGAGAGCTTTCCTCTGCTGGTTCACTCTCCAAATGCCTAAAACAGCCAAGGCTAGACCAAAACCCAAAGACAGGACTCCATCCAGGTCTCCATGTGGGTGGCAGGAAACCAAGTACTTGATCCATCATATTCTACCTCCCAGATACATTCGCAGGAGACTGAGTCAGAAGCAAGAAGTAGCTGGGACTCAAGGCAGGCACTATGATTTGGGATGCAGCTTCCTCAAGTAGTGGCATCTTAACTGCTATACCAAACATCGGCCCCTCCTGCCAGGTTGTTTTTTAATTTATTGTATTTATTTGAAAGGCAGAAAGGCACAGAAATTTGCCATCCACTAGTTCATTCCTCAAATGCCCACAAAATCCAAGGATGGGCCAGACCAAAACTAGTAGATGTGAACTAAACCTGAGTCTCTGACATGGGTAGCGAGAACCCAAATACTGAGCTGTCACTCGCCACCTCCCAGGATGTGGGTTAACGGGAAGCTGGATTTGGAGCAGGGCCAGGACTCAAACTCCAGCACTGCAGTATGGGATGTGAGGATCCCGAGTGGCTTAACGGTTGCACCAAAAGCTTACCTCCCTCCTTTTGATTTTTGACCCTGGAATTTTGGTGAAACAACTGGTCAAGGATCTCTGCTGTGATCTACACAACCCGTCTCCTTCAGCCCAGGGATGGAGTGAAGGGTCTTGCACACGTCCTTTGTCCCCACACGTGGTACACATTGTCCCCGGTGCTTCACCCCCTGTACCCCAGTTGCAGCCTGCTCCTGGGGCACTTGCTTCTTCTCTTGGTTCTCTCTACAGACTGAAGGTTCCTCTGGGGCAACAGAGAAGATGAAGAAGGGGTTATCTGACTTCCTAGGGGTGATTTCAGACACTTTCGCCCCTTCGCCAGACAAAACCATCGACTGTGACGTCATCACTCTGATGGGCACACCCTCTGGCACAGCTGAACCCTATGATGGCACCAAGGTATTTACTGGCCACCTCCCCAGTGGTCTTCAGCTCCACCTGTACTCAGACCAGCAGCATATGTTCAGGCCAAAACGTGAATACATGATGTAACCTGGAGGACACCAATAAGCCAGAAGAAGATAGTTATATCCATAATTATACCTAATGATCCCACTACCCAAAAGCACCCCGATTTCTCATTGGTATATACCCTGTTTCATTTTGTTTGCAGACATAGGTAAAGACATTTTGGGTTTTGTTCTTTTTTTAACAAAAAAGGCACTTAATACATGTATTTTTGTAACCTGTTTTTTTACAAATTACAGTAAACTATTAGTGTCTTTTCCTAATCACCACCTTTTTTTTTGTCTTTACATTTTTGCAAGTGAATATAGCATCATTTATTTAGTCATTTCCCTGGTGTTGCACACCCAGATTTCTTTCATTTGGTAACCTAGTGAGGAACACTACAGAGAGCATCATTGGAGGCATGATCTTCCCCACATAAATGTCATTTAAGACTAATTTCCAGTAGAAATAAACATGCAGATGGGGTTTGTGTGTTTAGAGCACTTAAGTCAGCAAGTGTGGTAGTTGATTGAATATTTCTCTTGCATTTTATTGTCTCATCATTACTACTCCTATTTCTTGGAATTTTTTCTCCTAAATTCATAGTACAGTGTCATGTCAGTTTGGTCTTTTTTGTAGTGTTTTATCACAGTGGATTTCTATTCCAAATGTACTGATTTTTCAGCTATGTTTTTCAGCACTAGCTTTAGCACCACCACTTAGTGAATATATGAGCAAATTGTGAAAAACTTAAATGGTAAAATTTTTTTAAAGATTTATTTGAAAGTCAGAGTTATACAGAGAGAGAAGGAGAGGCAGAGAGAGGTCTTCCATCCGCTGGCTCACTCTCCAAATGGCTACAATGGCCGGAGCTGCACCAATCAAAGCCGGGAGCTTCCTCCAGGTCTCCCAGGCTGGTGCAGGAGCCCAAGGACCTGGGCCATCTTCTACTGCTCTCCCAGGCCATAGCTGAGAGCTGGATCAGAAGTGGAAAAGCCGGGACTCGAACCAGTGCCCATATGGGATGCCGGCACTGCAGGTGGCAGCTTTACCCACTATGCCACAGCACCAGCCCTGTGAGATTTTAAGTTATGACAACAGTGAATCCTCGTCAGAGCCAGTTGCTAAAGTTCTGATGCAAACAGCACATGCTTTATGCAGTTAAGATTGATAGGGAAGGAAGTGGGGCTAGTGTGGTCTAGTAGGAACACGTCATGTAGTTCACTTGGCAGATTGGCCATAAAATTAAGAAAATTTTTTTTTCTTTTATCTACTTCAAAAGTAGAGCAACAGAGATAGAGATCCCGCAGCTGCTGATTCATTCCCCAGATGCCTGCCATACCAAAGGTTGGGGCAGGCCAAAGCCAGAAGCCTGGAACTCCATCCAGGTCTCACATGTTGGTGGCAGAGGCCCAAGCATTTGGGCCATCATCTGCTGCCTCTCAGAATGCATTAGCAGCAGGAAGCTACATTAGAAACACAAGAGCGGGGACTTGAACCAGCACTGCAATGTGATATGGGATGTAGGTGTTGAAAGTGGCAGCTTAACCCACGGTACCACAATGCTTGCCCCAATAACTTCTTTTTCATTTTTTTAAACATTATTTATTTGAAAAGCAGAATAACAGGAAGAGGTACAGAGACAGAGATAGAAAGTTTCTATCCACATTCATTCCCCAAGTGCTTACAACAGCCAGGGCTGGGCCAGGCCAAAGCCAGGAGCCTGGAACTCCATCCAGGTCTTCCACACAGGTGGCTGGGACCAAGTACATAGGCCATCATCTGCTGCCTTCCCAGGCATATTATCAGTACACTGGATCATAAGTATGGAGAAGCAGAGACTTGAGCCAGCACTCCCAAGTGGGTTGCAGGTATCCCAAGCAGTGGCTTACCTACTATGGCACAATGCCTGGCCCCCTCCTACATTTGGATTAACATTTTTAAAATTTCACACAGTTCAGTAGTGTTTTATACACATAATTATTTTTAAAGATTTGTTTTATTTATGTGAAAGAGTCAAAGAAAAAAAAGATCCGTCTGCTGGTTCACTCCCCAAGTGGTTGCAGTGGCTGAAGCCGGGCCAGGCCAAAGCCAAGAGCTTCATCCGGGTCTCCCATGTGGGTGCATGGACCCACTTGCGCCATCTTTCGCTGCTTTCCCAGGTGCATTAGCAGGGAGCTGAATCAGAAGTGGAGCAGCTGAGACTCAAATCAATGCCCATATAGGATGCCAGCATTGCAGGCGGTGGCTTAACCCACTGTACCACAACACTAGCCACTATATATACAATTTTATAGCCTGCTTATACTATTTTCTTAGTCCCCAAGAGAGGCACACTGACTGAAAGATCATTTTCCTGAGAGCCCTGGTTTTGGATTCCTAACCCAGTGCCACAGTATTTATTGATAAATGCCCTGTGGATGTGGTGGGCCAGAGGGGAGGAGCTGGTTGTGGTTGTGATTGATTTACTTCATTGACAGAAAGAGGTGCTTTCTACTCCTAGCACCCCAGGATTTCTGTTGTCTCTTCTGTCTTCCCTACAGGCTCGCCTCTATAGCCTGCAGTCAGACCCAGCAACCTACTGCAATGAACCAGATGGTGAGAGGGTAGCAGTGAGGGGTGGGCTTGCAGGTAGACCAAGGGGATCTGGGCTGTCGGCCCTGTCTCTGTCCAATAGCTGAGGCTTTACCCCATTTTTAGAGGTACCAGAATGGGACTGTTGTGTGTGTCACCCTGTGGGATGTATTGATGGTCCCCTTTCCTCCCTGAACCCTATTATCTTCATCCCCCCCTTTCCCTGCGCCTGCAGAGACTTCGCTCCTCTGGTCCCCCGTCCTCTCGGCTTAGCCTCCCTTCCAGCCCTGCTGCCCTGCCTGTCTTCTCTAAAGCTCCTTTTCCTGAGCCCCTGCCATACGACAAGCCCAGTGCTAGGACAGAGATCAGAAATGAGCCGGTCCCTCAGCACGGCCGAGCCCTCCAGGTAGCTGTGAAGGGGGAGGAATAGGGACACTGAATAAAGCTGAGATAGTAGGGTGGAGTGGCTGCTTTCCCAGAAAGATGGGGGCAGTGGGAGCCCAGGGGAATGGCACCTAACGCAGCCTGGGGAGCCTAGGAAGTGAGACTCGAATCAAGGTTTCCGAGGTAAATGAGTGCACTTCTAAAAGTAAAGAAGTGGGGAGGGCTACTGAGGCCACAGCAGCAGTACATTTGAAGGTCCAGAAAGGACAGAGCCTTGCCCTTTGTAACGTCGGATTAAAGCGATGTGAGGGAGTGCCTGCAGCGAGAGCTGCTATGGAAGCCAGGTGGGGATGGCTTTGTGTGTCAGACCAAGCAGAGTGAATTTTGTCCTGGAAGGTTCTCAGTAGTGGTTGGTCCTAGACCTTTTTTAGTCACAAAGGCCTTTAAAAATTGAAAATGACAAGCCTTCTTTCCAAAACTTTCGCCTGCAGTAGGGGAAATCTTTAACCCTTTGAAGCCCATCTCTGGACTCTAGGTCCAATAGTCTTTGCGGACAGAACTATTAAAAGGTTCTGAGGCCCAAGATGGTCAGATCTTGCATTTTGGAAAGCAGCACTTGGTCAGTGTTGTGAAGAAGGAAAGAGAGGGAAAGGAAAGACAGGAGACCAGTTAAGAGGCTTGGTAGAAGTCCCCATGTCAGAGGTTAAGACCAGAGCCTAGGAAGAGCCAGGTGTGATGGAGAGGAGGATGTGCACCTGTACGCGAGCCTGAGGAAGTGGAATCTCGAGTACTGGACAAGGTAGGAGCCTGGGGTGGCCCCCAGGTTTCCAGACGCTGAGTTTGCAGCCTCTGGGTCTGGAGTGCAGCAGGGTAGTCTGGACTGCTGGCCCAGGAACCATCAGTGCAAGGTGGCTGTGGTGATGTGTGGAACTTGTAGTTTAGTAGAGATGATCTTGAGAGGAAATAGAAAGAGAGAACAGATAAGGTGAGGAAAAAGAGGAGCCCAGGAAGACTCGCAGGGAACAGTGAGAGAAGCAGAAGGAAAAGGACAGAGTGAGAAGCCAGGGGAGCAGAGGGCTCAAGAGGAAGGCCGTGGCCCCCAGGGCGGGAAGCTGTAAAGAGGTTACGTGAGAGAGGATGGGGGAGTTGCTGTGGGCTCTGGTAGCTTGCGTCCAGGGGTGACCGGATGGCAGGCAGCTGTTTGAGAGAGGTGGGATTCAGTAGCCAGGTGCAGGCACTAAACTGCCAGCAGGGGTACAGGGAAATGGAGACCAGAGCCCTTCCTGGAGACTGCTTAGGTGCCGTGCTCTAGTGATCTCACTACAGCCCCCGACCCCACCTGACCTACTTTCCCTCCCCACTCCCAACCCCCAAATCTTGAGCCAAATAACTTTGAAGAAACCCTTAAGCTTTCTTTACCGTTCAAGGCCAGGCTCAGGCATTTTCTGTAGGCCCAGTATTCTTTCCCCAGACTTAGGGAACTGACCGTCAGCATCTGTCCCTTTGCAGGGCCCCCGGAATTGTTTGACGCCTGGCTTTCCCAGTGCTGCCTGGAGGAGAAGAAGGGGGAGATCTCAGAGCTCCTTGTAGGCAGCCCCTCCATCCGGGCCCTCTACACCAAGATGGTGAGGGCCCAGCCAGCAGGACCTCAGCCAGCCCTAGGCTTGAGCTGTTGGGAGAGGGAGGGACATGCGCAGCGGAGACCCTGTACAGCCAGACCAGCCATGTCGTGAGCCAACTCCAAGTGGGAGAGGCTGATTTACCAGGCTTCTGGCATCCAGAGAATGGTGAAGAATGGAAGGGCTGCAGAGCCCAGTGGGGGTTCTGTCACCTTCCTTGGCCAAACTGGACCAGGAAAGTGGGTCTGGCCAGAACGTCAGTGGGGTGGAAGTACTCTGACGAGCCCCACAGAACTTGCTGCGTCTGAGATGCAGAGTGGCGGGGGCAGACGGGTGTTCCCGACGTCTCACCTGCACTCCCCCTTCTTCCAGGTTCCAGCAGCTGTTTCCCACTCCGAATTCTGGCATCGGTATTTCTACAAAGTCCATCAGCTGGAGCAGGTATGCTGCTGCAGCCCAGGGGGCCCCACTCAGCCCTGGTCGGGAGCGGGCTGGATTTGGTCGAGGGGAAAAGGGGACACAGTGCCAAGAGTTCTGGGGTCTGGATCAGGGTCTAGGAAGAGGCTGCCCAACTGCTCCTGGCCTCTGCCCCTCCCCTCCAGGAGCAGGCCCGCAGGGATGCCCTGAAGCAGCGGGCAGAACAGAGCATCTCTGAAGAACCCGGCTGGGAGGAGGAAGAAGGTAAGAGGTGATGGGCAAGTGACAGGTCTTGTCTGCGAGGGGCCTGTGACCCTCGCTCTCTGAAGCCCGTAGAGACATTGTGCCCCAAGGTACAGCAGGAAATGAGGGCATTATTTATATGTGCTGAGGATGGGCGGAGCTAAGAAGGGGCTGTTGACCAAAACTGCTGGAGCTCCAGGGTTAGGTAGAGCAGTCGCTTGTATCAGTTGCAGCAGATTCCCCTGCCAGCCCGTAGGCCTGGAGAGCTTACTGGAAACCCATCCTTCCCCACCTTCTAATGAGACTGCAGGGATTGTTAACCAGCTTCCCTGCTAACGTTAATGCCCGGCCAGGTTTGCTTTAGGGAGGGAGCTGAGCATCCTCTACCTGGCAGCTCAGCCTGGAACAGCATGTGGGAGCCACCAGGAATATTTAATACTATTTTTGTTTAAGATTTATTTATTGTAAAGCAGAGTTACAAAGAGGCAGAGGCAGAGAGAGAGAGAGGTCTTCCATCTGCTGGTTCACTCCCCAAATGGCTGCAACAACCGGAGCTGGGCCAATCCAAAGCCAGGAGCCAGGAGCTTCTTCTGGGTCTCCCACACAGGTGTAGGGGCCCAAGGACTTGGACCATCTTCTATTGCTTTCCCAGGCCACAGCAGAGAGCTGGATCAGAAGTCGAGCAGCCAGGACTCAAACTGGCGCCCATATGGAATGCCGGCACTGCAGACAGCAACTTTTCCTGCTCTGCCACAGTGCTGGCCCCTATTACTGTTTTGTTTTTGTTTTTGTTTTTGTTTTTGTTTTTGTTTTTTTAAGATTTATTTGAAAGAATTGCAAAGAAAGAGAGAGAAACAGAGATCTTCCAGCTGCTGGTTCACTCCTGAGAGGGCCACAACTGCCAGGGCTGGGCCAGGCCAAAGCCAGGAGCCAGAAGCTTAATCCTGGTGTCCCACATGGGTAGCAGGGACCCAAACACTTTGGCCATTGTCCACTGCTTTTCTCAGGCCATTAGCAGGGAGCTGGATTTGAAGTGGAGCAGCTGGGACACAAACCAGCATCCTTGTGGATGCCTGTATCAGCATTGTAGACAGCAGATTTGCGTGCTGAGCCACAACGCTGGCCCTGGAAGGTCTAATATTATTAACACATGGATTAAGTGCAAAGAGCTGATTTGTATAGTCCTTGCCACAACTCAGTTGTTCCTCTTAGGAAAGAGGTAGGCAAGTTAAAATCAAATGGCTTGCCCAGTCCTACACACAGAATGTATCAGGGCCTGGCCTGAACCCTAACCTGACGCACTTTCCACATTTGGCTCTCTTGTCTGTTTTACTGTGGTGAGCTGAGTTGCTGGAAACCTGCCATGTCTTTGGCCCATGGGCAGGCAGGAATCTGGCTAACAGGGAGTGTCTGCAGGAGAACCGTGATGGGCAGGGGTTTAGGAAAATGGCGCTGTTTAGTTCTGGTCAGAGTAAACTTTGGAGGGAGCTCCAGGATTGTCTTGGGCCAGCCAGTGTTCACTGTCCTCTCTTCCCCTACTTCTCTCTCTCTGCAGAGGAGCTTGTGGGCATTTCACCCACATCTCTAAAAGAGGCAAAGATCCCTGTGGCCAAAACTTCCACATACCCAGAAGGAGGACCTGGCCTCCAGAGCCCATGTGAAGAGTCTCAGGTGACCCCAGCGGAGCCCCCAGCAGAGGTGACTCCATCAGAGAGCAGTGAGAGCATCTCTCTCGTGACACAGATTGTCAGCTCTGTCACTGCACCCGAGGCACCAGACCCGCCCAAGGACCTGTCCCAAAAGCTGCTGGAAGCATCCTTGGAGGACCAGAGCCTGGCTGAGGATATGGGCGAGACTGGACCCCCGCCCCCAGCTCCCTCCAAGCCTCTAGCCCCTGCTGGCCGCCCCAGTGGCACAGAGCCCAGGCCTCCAGCCAGAGTAGAGACTCTGAGGGAGGAGGGGCCTACAGACTTACGGGTGTTTGAGCTGAACTCGGACAGCGGGAAGTCTACACCCTCCAACAATGGGAAGAAAGGTAGGTCTGGAGGCCCAAGCCCAGGGGGTTGTATGGACGAAGGACGGCATGAGAGTTGCCACCTCACGGGGCAGCCGTGTCTTGTTCCTTGTTGAGCTCATTTGTGATGATGACGATGGCATCTGTTCTGTATTTCATCAGTTCTGATTTGCACATATTGTCTGAAAGTTTACATCTTTCAATTATTAGGGTCTTAGAGTCAATGAATTAAGATTGATGCTGGGCCCCATGCTAAATATGTTAGATGACATTTTCTCATTTAACATCTCACACCCAGTGAGGCGTAATTGTTCTCATTTTTCTGGTGATAAAAATGAGGCCCAAGCATGTTAAGTAACTTGCTCAAAGCCCACATTCAGACGCAGCCCGTCTGACCCCAAGCCTATGTCCAACGACTGCGCTGTGCCAGTTTCTATCCTCTTGGACAATTCTATCTTACCCTGCCTTGGGAATCCCCAGACAGTGCTGTCAAGGGTACTCTGTGGAACCCAAGAAAGTTGTTCAGCTTCCCTAAGCCTTCATTAGTTATTAGGAAATGTGTAAACAGAACTGGCACAGTGTAAGGACTACAGTGAACACCAGGGAACTTACAGTAACCCAGTGTTGATCATAAAGCTTCAGTGTCTTATCTGCACAGTGGGATTTTAGACAGGAGAATCTCTGAGTTTATGTCAAAGGACACCGGCTCCAGCCCCAGGAATCAAGACAAGAATAGTTTCACCTTCCCCCTGGCCGCCCCCTCTTTTTTTTTTTTTTTTTTTTTTTTTTTCTTCCAGATTTATTTATTTGAAAGCCACAGTTACAGGGAGACAGAGACAGAGAGATCTTCCATCCACTGGTTCACTCCCCAGATGGCTGCCATGGTCAGGACTGGGCCAGGCAGAAGCCAGGAGCTTTATCCAGGTGCCCCGTGTAGGTGGCAGGGACCCAAACACATGAGCCATCTTTGGCTGCTTTCCCAGGCCATTAACAGGGAGCTGGATCAGAAGTGAAGCAGCCTGGACACGAACTGGCACCCATATGGGATGCCAGCATTGCAGGCAATGGCTTTGCCTGTTACACCACAGCGTGAGCCCCGGGATAGCCTGTTTTGGACCATCCAGAATCCCCTCTAGCATTAGCTGATGATCAGCAAAACCTCCCCTCACCACTTCACACACACACATCTGTCACTGCTAACACTCGGTCCCAGTCACAGCCACAAAGCTTGCCCAGCTGGTGAGGCCTGTTCTGTTGCACAGTGAGGGAAGTGGGCCCCACTGCAGCCCTGCCCTGCTCCCTGGTGGAAGCTGGCATTTCCAGTATCCACCACAGAGCTCTCCTCCTGACTCTGAGTCAGTGAAGTCATCCATTGGCTCTCTCCTGCTCTTTATGAGACACTGAGTGGGGAGGGGCAGGAGCAGCAGTCTTTGTGAGGAAGCATGAGCAGCATGTGGCAGGCCTGGTACCAGAGGCGTTCAGAGAAAGAAGGGCTCTCTGGGCATCGGCAGGTGTCTCACTGAGGAGACAGGCATTGTATAGGAGAGTTGGAGAGTTTGGGGCAGGTATGGGGGAGAGGCAGGCCAGGCTGAGCAGGCCTGCGGAGTCCAGATAGTGGAGGGCATGGGACACGCTAAAGCCTCCTTTTCTATATTGTCTCCCAGGAGAGAGCAGGGTTGGGGGGGTCGACTCATAGAACAGAAGGACTTAGATCTTAAGCTGGCTCCCAGAGGTTGGACTTGGTGCTGTAAAGCAGCAGAGCACAGAGGCTAAGGGCTCGAGTCGGGCTCTGCAGTCACACCGTTCTGAGTTCAAATCCCGACTTTCCACCTAAGCTGCGTAGCTCTATGAGTTCCTGATCTTCTCTGAGCCTCTCTTTACTCTTCTGTGCCTTCATGGTAGATTCTTAGGGAAGAAATTTGAGCAGAGCTTTGGGGAAATTGTGATCAAAATTCTCTGAGCACATTCTGTTTGTCCAGATCTGGGCTAAGCACTTGATATGCATGTCACTGAGTCCTCACAAAAGCCCTGTGACATCTGTGCCATTTCCCATGTTTCTACTGGGAGGAAGCTGAGTTCAATCACTCACCCAATAAACATTAAGAAAAGTGTGAAATCGTCCCATAGGGCGGAGGAAGACTAGGTGATATGCCTGACAGGTGTGGTGGGGTTGCTGGGTAGGTAGTACTCATCAGGGCCCCATGGAGGTAGTGGTCAGGGGTTTTAACTGAGACCAGTCATCCCTTCTGTCCTTTGGCCCAGCCACATTTGGTTGCTCAGGTGCAGGCATAGAGCAGAATGGGGACTTGAATTTACTGGGTTCAGATTTAGCCAGGTGAAATGAGTGGAAGAAAAGATCACCCAAAGATGTGAAAAAAGGGGATCAGGATGATGGCTGGGTAAGGGAAGAAGTGAGGGACAGAGAAACAGCTCAAGGGTTAAAGAATGAAGGGTTCCATTTGGAAGTGGGCTACAATGAGGGTGATCAGGAAAATTAACAGTGGAGACTGGATGAAATTGCAGTGATGGGGGAGGTGTGGTACAAGCCGTTAACCACTCTGCATCCTGCCTCTGATACACTCCGGCTTGTGGCCAGGGGGGTGGTGGGTACAGAGTAGGGAACCCACCAGAGGCAACAACAGTCAGGCAGATTGCTGGGAGCCAGGGTCTTAGACTATATTTGGACAGTGGAAACAGTAGAGGCAGTGAATCCTTTTTTTATTTTTTATAAATTATTTATTTATTTTTATTCATGTGAAAGCCAGAGAGGCAAGATCTTCCATCTGCATCAGAACCAGACCAAAGCCAGGAGCCCAAAACTCCATCCAGGTCTCACACATGGGTGGCAAGGACCCAAGTACTTGAACCATCACCTGCTGCCTCCCAGGGTGCACCTTAGCCCGAAGCTGGAATGGGAAATGGAGCTGGGATTCAAACCCAGGCACTCCAGGGTGGGGTGCAGGAGTCCCAGGCAGCGTCTAACTGCTGTGCCAAACGCCTGCCCCAAGGGATTGGATCTTAAAAAGGAAGAACAGAAGTTTGAGACAGTGGCTACTTTTCCCTCTGAAGTTCACGTCGTAGAATCACAAGAGGCTTGATCTCTGGGAGCAGCAGGGTTCATGGGCTTCCCAAAGAATCAAGGTGATCCCTTTCATTGCAAGGCTGCTTCCTACCTGTGTTTTGTCTCGGGTTCTGTCTGATCTTCCAGACTGGAATTACCCTGCTCAGCTGTTGTCAGCGGGGGCAGAGGATAGGAGCCTTGGGCTAGTCTGTGGGCTGTGCACTGGGGCCCTGGGTTCAAAGCCCTGCTTGGCCACAGTGTAGAGTGCTTTTGCCTCCTTTTCTTTCTTTCTCTTTCTTTCTTTCTGTCTTTCTGTCTTTTTAAGATTTATTTATTTATTTGAAAGTCAGAGTTACACAGAGAGAGAAGGAAAAATAAGAGAGGGCTTCCATCCACTGGTTCACTCCTCAATTGGCTGCAACAGCCAGAGCTGTGCTGATCTGAAGGCAGGAGCCAGAAGCTTTTTCCAGGTCTCCCACACGGGTGCAGGGGCCCAAGGACTTGGGCCATCTTCTACTGCCTTCCCAGGCCATAGCAGAGAGCTGGATCAGAAGTGGAGCTGCCGGGACTCGAACCGGCGACCATATGGGATGCCGGCACTGCAGGTGGCACCTTTACCTGCTACACCACAGCGCCAGCCCCTTACCTCCTTTTCTGGTCTGGGGAAGCAGTCAATTAGACAGAATGAGCTGTTGAGTGACAGCACTGTGAGGTTTATAATCACCTGTAATCTCTCATTTCTTCAAAACAAAACAAAAACTGTCAGAGTCCATGATAAAATCTTAAATTGTTGCATAGGTCGTGTCTCTGCCACATGTGCAGTGTCACAGAGATCTAGCTCTCTCCTTGTATGGCAGGACAAGATAATGTGAAGAGGCCAATGGCAGGTGGAGCCAGAGTCACATCCCGCTGCCTGTGGAAGCCTCCATTTCCTCATCTGTAAACTGGACTGTTGATACCATCCCAGAGAGTAGATGTGAAATGCTCCAGAGATGTTAGCTGAGGTCTGTTTTCGGTGGCTGGAAGGGTCTGCCCTAGCACTGAGGCCTGAAGAGAACTTTCAAATCCTGAGAGGTTCAGGAAAGCCGTGAGGCCACAGCCACAGCCCAGAGGGAGCAGGCAGCCAAGAGTGCAGCCTCTTACCCACAGGAGGCCAACACTGACATCTACCTGGATGCGTGCCGCAAAGGATCCTGAAGACACAGAGGAGCTGGAGTGCAGGGCCAGAGGAACTAGGCTTTGGCTGCAGATACACTGACTTGCTGTGGAACCGTGGACACAATTATTTAACTCCAACTTGAGGCCTTTGAGAGAAACATGGCTCCATTTATTAAATATCTGCTATGTATGGATGTGGCAGGCACTTTATATTCATGCCTCTAATTGTGACACTCTGTTTCTCAAACCATGGGCCTTAGTGCACAGAATCACTGGGTACCTGTTGATAATGCAGAGGAACAAGCCACCTCTTACCCCTGCTAAATCTCAGTTTGGGGGAAGGAGAGAGCAGTGCAGGGACCTGCATTCTAGTAAGCTCCTCTCGTAGTTCTTTACAAAGAGGGTCATTTCATCTGTTTGTTTTTTTAATAGACTAAAGCCTAGAATAATTTGCCCAAGACTATACGATAGTAAGGTAAGGGAGTAGGTATACCAGCTCCAGAGAATGTGCGCTTACCAGGCAGCTGGTGGTTAGCTGTGGTGAGGAGGAAATCACAGTGTAAGACTCTGTACATGGACTTTAGGGGGCAGATGTTGGAGTCTGGGCAGGTGGTGAGCAGAAGAAACAGGGCCTTATGGATCATGGCATTCAAGGGCTTTCTTAAAAAATAATAATAGTAATTTATATCAAAGGCAGAGTGACACAGAGGGAGAGACAGAGAAAGAGATTTTCCATTTGCTGGTTCATTCCCCAAATGCCCACAATAGTCTGGTCAAAGCCAAGAGCTAGGAACTCCATCTG